CTCGGGCGGTTCGGCGGCTCGGGCGGCTCGGCTGCTGCAGGGGCAGCGGCGGCTGTTGCTCACAGGACGGCGGCGGCCGCTGCTGCAGCGGCGGCGGCAGTTGCTGCTGCAGGGCCGGCGGCGGCCGCTCCTGTAGGGACGGCGGCGGCCGCGGTTGCAGTGGCGGCGGGTGCTGCTGCAGGGGCGGCGGATGCTTCTGCTGCTGGGACTGCGGCCGCGGTCGCTGTAGCGACTGCAGCTGCTGCTGCTGTAGAGGCGGCGAGGGCGGGCCGAGAGAGGCCGCGAAGGGCGGCGGACGGGCCGTAAAGGGCGGCACGAGGGGCCGCAGAGGGCGGCGACCGGCCGTGAAGGGGCCGGGAGTGGCCGCGGAGGGCGGCGACGGGCCGTGAAGGGCGGCGCGAGGGGCCGCGGAGGGCGGCGACCGGCCGTGAAGGGGCCGCGAGTGGCCGCGGAGGGCGGCGACCGGCCGCGAAGGGGCCGCGAGTGGCCGCGGAGGGCGGCGACGGGCCGTGAAGGGCGACGCGAGGGGCCGCGAAGGGCGGCTACGGGCCGTAGGGGGCCGTAAGGGCGGCGCGAGGGGCCGGAAGGGCGGCGCGAGGGGCCGTAATGGCGGCACGAGGGGCCGTCAGAGGGGCCGCTAAGGGCGACGCGAAGGGGCCGTAAGGGGCCTAGAGAGGGCGCGACGGTAGGGAGGGCACGCGGGGCGCGACTCGGGCAGGAGCGAAGCGCGCTCCGGGCAGGAAAAAAAAAATTCGATTGGTGGGCCCTAGGAAGCGTTCCCACGAGGGAACCCGCTCTATACCATGTTAAATAACGAGGAAAAATGGATGGACTAAGGGAAAGTGGGTACAAAAGCAAACCCTAGAAAACTGTACCCCATATGTGCTACCCCACTATAGCCTACAGTAGCTATGTCATATAAATCTGACAGCAGCGTGGTCAGCTTCGTCTTGCTTACGTGGCCACTCAGGCAAACACTGCTGATATCTCTACTAAGGCACTTCAGCCTTGTGATCATCAGTGCTTTTGTACTATGCTAGGTCTTGTGCCTACTTGGCCTCACTTGCTCACTTCTTGACTCTGTTTGTACTGTGATATCTATACATATACCTGCATGCTTACACTTGTTAGGTTGTGTTCACTGTATTGTTTGTTCTCCTTTACATAACTCTGCATGTGAACTGGCCTTGTGGCCATTTGCTTGTGCTCAGAATGCGTGGTGACGTCGTGATCCACCCTGAGCTTGCTTTGCCTTTCTTGACCGGTCTTGTGACCTCTTGTTCTCCCCCACTTTGCCTATGGGGGTGTGTCAAACATATATGTTATAGTCTTTCTAGGTTGTAGTGGGGTAGTTCATATAGGGTACAACACTTTTAGGTTTCCTACTTGTACCCACCTGCTTGCTAGTTCAGTCATTCCTTCCTTCACTATTCTGACAGCGTGGCCAGCTTCGTCTTGCGTACGTGGCCACTCGGGCCAACACTGCTGATGTATTCACCAAGGTACTTCCGCCTGGTGATCATCAGCGCTTCTCTACTGTGTTAGGCCTTGTGCCTACTTTGCCTCACTTGCTCACTGCTTGACTCTGCTTGTACTGTGATCTGTACATATATATACATGCATGCTTACACTTGCTAGGGTATGATCACTGTATTGCTTGTTCTCTTTTATATAACTCTGCATGTAAACTGACCTTGTGGCCCTTTGCTTGTGCTCGGACTGTGTGGTGACTTTGTGATCCACCCTGAGCTTGCTTTGCTTTTCTTGACTGGTCTTGTGACCACTTGTTCTCCCCCACTTTGCCTATGGGGGTGTGTCAAAATGTTGTATAGCTTATATTGTGTAGGCTATAGTGGGGGGTACAACCCAATTAGGGTTAGTACTTGTACCCAACTCTTTGCTAGTCCATTCATCCTCGTTCATTATTCAGACAAGGTGGCGACAGGTTGCGCTTCTGATGATCCAATCGAAAATCTCAAATTGTAATTTACATGTTGAATGACTTGCGTTATTCCTAGAGATCGAAAGTTGAGAGCACAGCGGGTAATGTCTCGGTTAGCGTTCGTGAGGTAGGGTATTCGATTCTTGCGTGATACATATTGTGTTTTGGTTGTTTCTTTACTTGGAACATGTCTCTTTCATTGATAAAGCGCATTGAACAAAACATACAACCTACTTAGGACAGCAGTCCGTTGCCTGCCATACGGAATGAAAGACATGGAGTTCGGTTCTCATCAGAGCCATTGTAACAATGAGGCAGTCTTTGCTTGTTGTTTTCCTTTCCCTTTGTCCGCTCATCAACAATATACCCAGCGAGTATTGATCCGCCGACCTCCGGCGCAAGTGTCAGAGTCAAAACTCTCGAAAAAAATCAGAGTCGAGAACTGCCAGCAACCGGTATCGAACCCGAACCTCAAATCCCCAAGGGCTGGGCAGATACGGGCCAGATTTGAGTCAGGTATGGGTGAGGTTTTTTTTAGGTCAAAAAACTCACTGACCCCAAAGTATCCCCCAACTGACCACTAACCCCAAAGTGTCCCAAAAGTTACTTTCGGGTCAACGTTGGGCCAGGCTGAGGATAATGGGGAATTTGTATCAGGTTTGGGTCAGTGACATTTTGATGATGTAGGACTATGGCACAACCCAGTGAAATGCACAGCCTGGAGTCGGCGGCCACTAGAATCGAGTGAATCACTGCCGTCGGGAGTTCCTTTCAGTGATGAGGGCGTACGATTACTAGGGAGTTTCCTGGGCTCACGCATAGGAGCGAGCAGCGTCCTTACCGAACAGCTCGGTAGTATGTCGAAGCCACTTCCGCTGCTAGAGTGAGCCGACCCACAAGTGGAATCTCTCATGCTCAGTCGCTGCATATCTCGACGGGTGTCGTACATGTAACAACTACGGCCCTTATAACAATGGGCAACCGTGTGTTAAATATAAATCCTCCTTGACAATATATATATAATCAAGATGCAAGGCTTCCAAGATTAAACTAATCCCACAAAGAGATCAACTAGCCTTGATAATACTATTTAAGCTTGAGAGGAGAAAGAGAGCTTGAAGAAGGTTGATGAAGATTTAGCAAGTTGGTAGGTAGCTTCTTGTAGAGCTTATCCTTGAAGTAAACACAATTCTAATTGTGTAGGAGAGCTTGTTAGGAGAACCAAATGACTTAGAGAAATCCCATTTCCAAATTGGTAAGTTGGAGTTGGGAAGTGGGAATGAGCCTCAAAGCTTCAACCCCTTCTACAATACCCCTTGGGGCTCTTCCCAACCATGGCTTCCATGGTTGGGGAGCTTCTAGGCTTGGAGCCTATGTGGCATCTTTGTTTGGTTGGGAAAACCCAACTTAATTGTGTTGTATGGTTGCTAGGTTCTTTGTATGGATTATAACAACATTTGGCACAATGTGATTGGTTGGAAATCCAAGCTTTCCAATCTTCACTTTGATGGGTTGGAAGTTTCCAAGCCTCAAGGTTGAGGGTTCGAAATCCCAAGCCAGTCTTTCTCTCCAACTCAACCTTCCCGATTGCCTTCACGTCACTTCTCATCAAGCACTCTCTCGATGTTGACTTAGGAAATCCGCGGTAGTTAGGTAGAGTAGGCGTTACAGTGCTTGACAAGAACAACGCCAATCGATCTCCTGGATCCAGACACCTGGTCGCTGTGGGGCAGGAGCCTTTTAGTCACATTACTGACTGCGTGCAGTATCCGCTTCCCAACCAGCGACGAAGAGCAGAAGCGCGTCTGGGAGCGGGCCTCACTCCCGCCATCGCTCGGTGGGGTCGGCCTCATAGACCCCACCGTGGAAGGAGTGTTTGGTTACCTGGCGAGCTTCACCCAGGCGGCTCACCTACTCATATCGCTGCCACTGCCACCGGACGCCGTGTTACGGGAAGCGAACAATCACATGGTGCTGCCACGGGACCCTGACACGCAGCTGCACAGGTGGTTGTCGGAGTGTGAGCGGTCATTGCCGGCGGACGCGCAGGAACTACTACACAAGGAGCGGCTGCAGCCGTCGGGTGTGAATGCAACACGCCTTGTCACTGAGTATGCAAGGGACTAGATATGCAGAGCAGGTGCTAGCAACGAGGAAGATGAGTCTGTACCCGCTGTCTGGGCACACACAGAGGATGCTTTCCCTCAGTGGGTATGGGACGGGGGACTGGCTACTTGCCATTCCTATTGCACCCACACCAAGGCTCGGCCCATAGAATTTTGCTAACGCCGTGCGATTCCGCCTCGGCCTCCCCTTCTCTGCACTGGCAAACTGTGACAGCACTGCCCACACGGCTATAACCGATCCACAGCTTCCCAGCCACCTCTTCCACTGCGGGACCGGTAAAGCCAGAATCAACACCCATAATGAGCTCCGCGTCGCATGCATTAGCATGGCTAAAGACGCAGGTTTATTGTGCATGGGGAGTCAGCTGCTTACTGTCCCATAGAGGAGCAAACGGCGGATCTTACCTTAAGGGACAAGAGCTCGGGGGCGGTGTATATCTGTGACGTCACAATAACAGACCCCATCAGCACTAGGGACCCTGACGCATGGAAAGGACGGGGATGGGCAGCTAGAGAGCAGGCAGACAAGAAGCGGAAACACTACACTTGGCTGTCCGTGCGCAGAGGTGCCTAAATTCCTCAAACTCTTGGCAGACACGGCTGCCCGGCGCAAGGATGAAAAATACGGTTACCGTATTAAACGGTCCGTTTAAAACGGTTGTATTATATGGCAGTTTTTGGTAAAAAACGGCGTTTTTTTGATAGACTTTTTTTTTTTGCATTATTTTATTTTTTCAATGCTGAAATGCCTGAAATGCCTACTACATGTTAATGCTGGAAATAGAGCTAGCTACTTGTACACCACTACTACTCTACTTCTACACAACATCACCCCTCTCCCTCTTTGAGCTATCCACTACAACTTACACTTACCCACTACTTCTCACCTCCGTTGCCTCTCTCTCTCCTACGTTGAACATCACCCCCCTCCTCTACTCATCATCCTCCTCCTCCTCCTCCTCCACCTCCTCCTCCTCCTCCTCCTCCACCTCCTCCTCCTCCTCCTCCTCCTCCTCCTCCTCCTCCTCCTCCTCCTCCACCTCCTCCTCCTCCTCCTCCTCTTCCTCCCCGCTCGAGCCATCATTGATGTCCCACGGATCCGCGCCCGTGCGGCGAGTCCTGTTGGTGGGCACATCCTCCTCCTCCTGGCCACTGTTGTCCGCCGCCTCCTCCTCCTCACCCTCACGCACAGCCTTTGCTTTCCCCTTACCCTTGCAAGGCTTGGCTGCGGTGCCGTTCCTCTTCATTTTAGAGCTTTTTCCCACCTTTTTCTTCTTCTTACCAATCTGCCCGAAATTATCCCAGTCAATGGTACATCCCACATTCTCCTCTCCCTCCTCCTCCTCCTCCTCCTCCACCTCCACCTCTGCCTCTGCCGAAGCTTCTCCTGCATCGTGGATTTCCTGTCAAAAGTATCCCGGGCCCTCCTCGTGAACGCGACATAAGTCACGTCCATCATCTTCTTGGCGGAGATGCGGTTACGGTCACGCCTTTGCACACGTGCAATGGCTGACCAGTAACGCTCCACCTCGGATGACGTTACTGGCTGAGATAGCGTCATCACCGCAAGCGCTTGGAGCGCCTGCACCTCCCCCCCGTACATCCACCACCATTCCGCATCGGTCAAGCGCCCTCCCTCCACCAAAACCTTTGCAGCCCATCGTGCGTCGGGGGACCCCAACCGCCCCTCGCCCTTGTGGAACTGTGCTAACTGTGCTTGGATGAGAGTGCGCTGAGCGACATCCCCGCCACGTGCTTGTATGACCTCTTCCGCCCCACTGATCACCTCTTGGTCCTCCCTCACTTCCCCCAAGTACTGATTGCGCGGGTTAAGTAGCCACCCGAGCGCATGGAGTGGGTTATGCAACTGGCCGTCCCACCTCTTGGCTATGATAGCCTTGATGGCCGCCAAGAACGATGGCTTATCCTTTGCCGCAAGCAGGGACGTGCGCTTGACAAGCATGGCGGCTGCCCATGACATGTACAAACGAGAGACACGTGAGTCAAAGGCAAGTATAGGTGAGGGAGAAACATACGAGCATGGCGGCTGCCCATGACATTTACAATCAATGGGCGGGAAGGTGGTTCGTGCAAGCAAGGGTATTCTTACCTCCAGCTTTGGCCGCCTCATTGGTCTTCACCGTGGCCTCTAGCATGAGGCCATACACTTGCCCCATGACTAGAGCCCGCGTGTCGACGACCCGAAGGACGTCATACACGGGCTGCAAGATGGCAAGCACCGCCGTTGCGCAATCCCAGAAAACCTCATCCAAGAGGAGGAACCGGACCGCCTTCCCCTCGTCCTGCTTTGCCACCGCCACCCCCTCCCACTCCTCACTAATGACCATCTGTCGCAGCGCCTTCTTCACTTCAAGGAATCGGGTGAGCATGATGACGTTCGTGCCAAACCGAGTTGCACCAGGCCGCACCAAGGCAAGCTCGCTAAACACCTCATGGAAGAGAGTGACGGCGGATGCGCTTCCCTTCACCATCATGACCACTCGGCGCACCTGACTTAGGACCCGTTTCACCGCACGAATCTTCCGGAGGTCGTGAAGCATGAGGTCAAGAACATGCGCGGCACAGTTGTTGAAGAAGATTGATGGGTATCCCTCGCGCAAAATGTCGGCCGCCCTCCGGTTATTGGCCGCGTTGTCCATGACAACTTGGACGACGGCCTTGTCCCCCACCTTGCAGATGGCTTTTTGGAGGAGGCCGGCAAGATAGACGCCGGTCTTCTTTGCCGTTTTCGAGTCGACTGTTTCAACGATCACCGGTGCCGTGTCGTTGAGGGCGATAACGCACACAAGCCCTCGGCTCTTCAAGCAAGTCCACCCGTCGCACGTGAGGGTGCAGCTGCGCTTGCCCCAGCTATCCGTCATTGGCTTCACAAGCTCCTCGATATCCGCCCGTAATTTCATAAGTAGCTGGCCTCCAACCTTGTAGGGGGAAGGGAGGGTGTATGGCTTCGCGAAGGCGAGAGCCGCATCGACGAATGCCTGCACCGATTTCGACTTCGAACACTGGAACGCCCAGCCGTTCTCCGCAACTGCCCCTGCCCAGAGGTAGTCCAAACGAGAGCGAGCAGTCGTATCCGCCATGTCGCGGATGTCGCGCTGCCTAGCGCGACGAGGGGCCAGAATCTCAACCGTAGTAGAACATGAGGCGCGGTTTGATGGGCCGACTGACGAGCGGTCTTGCTCTGCTTCCACGCGAAGTTGCTTTGCGACGTCAGAGTCACAGGGCGTCACATTCTTCTCTTTCTGCGAAGGCGTCCTGAACACATGCTGTTCTATGCGCGTCGCGCTGGCCGTCACGGGTTTGCCGCAGTGTTTGCATTTCGCAGTGACGGAGCCGTCAGGACCAGTCTCCGTCACTGCGTGTTTCCATGCTTTCGACAAAGGTCGCACCATGAGGTCTCTGCTGCACTAAACGAGAGGTTGGTCAGGCTGTAGTACTAGGAAGATATGCAAAAGTATGGTTTTGGTGCTCCTATTGGTACCTGTGAGTGCCTTAGTGACTGCTGTGTGTCGAGTGGATTCTGAAAGGGGGGTCAGTTCAAGTGAGGGGACATGATTGGCTCGATCGAATTCGGATCGCGAAGGTTGGGTTGTGTCGCGAGTGTGGGTGAAAATTTGAAGGTGGGCGCGAATTTTCAAAACGGCCAAGGCGAAACGGGTACACTGCGGTGCATTGTTCGTCAAATGTCGAAATGTTGCGACTCGGTTTTTTATTCACGTTGCGCTTCGGCGAATCAAATTTGGCGATGGCGAAACAGGTAATCCCGTTGTTCGCCATCGCCAAATGCCTTCAATGTCGCGAGGCGAATGCGGCGTAAATTCGCGACTCGGGCGAAAATTAATCCTGCTGCAATTTGTGCGACCGAAAACAAATCGATGGGCTACTTGGGGAAAATTGTGAAATTCGATAAACGCAGTCTCGCTTTCAAAATTTCGGTCGTTTAAAACGACCGTATTTTTAAACTTAATAATAAAACACATTTTTACCGTATTTAACCGTATAATACGACCGTTTAAAACGATTCCGTATAATACGGTAAAAAATCAATAATTCGGTCGTTTTTTTAATCCTTGGCCCGGCGGCACTTTAACGCTGAGCCCCACTCATTTCAGGCCGCTAAGCTACTTCATCAGTTTAGGCAGCGGTGGTCAGTGGTGTTACAAAGAGCCCAGTCGGTGGGCTACCTCATCAAGTCAAATCTGGCGGCAGCAGCAGAGAACCCACCGGTGGGTGGGGTTCACCTTGAAATGTCCCTTGGGGACTGTTTTGACGTAATCGAGCCCCTAGTGGAGCTCTAGGCTACGTGGTTATAGGTTAGTAGGTGCTTGCTTGCTTGTCTGTTAGATTCCTAGCACTAGCACACTCTTGCCAGTTTGTAACCTTTCACTCCTATCAATATCAGGACCATTTGAGAGAGAGAGAGAGAGAGAGAGAGAGAGAGAGAGAGAGAGAGAGAGAGAGAGAGAAAGAGAGAGAGAGAGAGAGAGAGTGAGAGAGAGAGAGAGAGAGAGAGAGAGAGAGAGAGAGAGAGAGAGAGAGAGAGAGAGAGAGAGCGAGAGAGAGGAGGAGGAGGTGCGCGAGTCGAGGAAGGGAGAGAGGAAGGCGGGAAAAGGGGGCGAGCCCTTCGTCCATCACAGCCACCACCCCCGCAGCCTTCCCCCCATAGCGGCAGCCGCGGCAGAGCACACTTCAGGCACATGGCGGGCGACGCAGATGTGGCAGACGGCAGGTGCGGCGGCGTCTGGTGCTGCAGGCGTGATAGGAACAGCGGGCGCGTCGTCCGCATGCTTGTCGCCGTCGCGGTTGTGCTGCAGGCCACGACGGTCACTCAGGTCGCCCCCGCAGTCGCGCTGGCCATCGCGACGGTCGCGCAGCTCGTCGCGGCGGTCGAGTTGAAGGCCGCGACGGTCGCGCCGGTCGTGGGGACGGTCCTGTTGCTGGCTTGTAGTTGCCAGTGAGAAAGGGGCAGAGCGATGCGCCATTGCGACGCAAGGGAGGATCTAAAGGAACCAAGCTGTCGATACCATGTCGAGATAGGAAGAGTAGAGAATGGGAGCTGGAAAGTTACGAGAGAAGAAAGCGCACTGAAAGGGGGCTAGGGCCTATGTTATACAGGCAAGGTACACAACAGTTGGCTACACTAGGAGCTGTACTGTAGGCAGTTTATATAATAATTGTGTACATATATTTGTGACATGGGAGACTCAGTTAAGGCGAGCTGAGCTGATCAGTGGCCAGGCACAGAGAGTCCTCCACTCCAGTGGGAGCATATGTCAGGCACACAAGCACTCCAATGAGAGCAATCGTAATTTGCCATGCACAGAGGGACTCCAGTGAGAGAGCCATTGTCAGACACACACGCTTTCCAGTGAGAGCGATTACCTGTATCAGACGAAAAAACTGCACAACGCTCTCTGGCTTGCAGGCAACATATTCAAAGCCATATGCTTTTACGGATAATCTATGTCGCAGTGTCTTGTGATTCAGGCAAAACAAAACAGTTGGTACGAAAAACCATGATATCCAGGTCCCTGGTTCACCCCCATGCTAACATAAGCACAAGGGTTTGCAGCAGCAGTAGAAAACATGACCTGACAATGTGGCCCTCAGCTGTCATTGCTTTTCCGCTGCGAGCTTGACTGGGAGCCGGTGGGCCTTGTGTGACAGGTGTGCTGCCTCCCGCTTGCTCTCCAGAAGGAGTGCCAGATGATGCACTGGGGGGTGGGGCGCTGGCAGGTGCTGGGGAGGCGGATGGCGGACTGGTGGATGGCGGACTGGTGGACGGTGGGCTGGTGGACGGCGGACTGGTAGACGGTGGGCTGGTAGACGGTGGGCTTGGAGCTTCATGTAACCCCACAGGATGACAAGAAGGGAGAGACAGAAGAAAGCACATTGGCACATGCGAGTGCAGAAACAAAAGAACATTGAACTGATGTGTGTGTGGCTCGCAAAGCATGCATGTGGAGATGTATGTTGCTCATAGGCCATGTATTTGGGTGATTCTGGGGCTTGCAACAGAGATTGCGAGTGGCCTCATCAGGTGACAAGAATGAGACAACCGAAGCATGGTGAGATATTGACTCGAAGGAATTTGAACGTGCTCTACTGGGATCATAAAAGGGGATTGCGGGTGACAGCAATGAGACAACAAAACCATGATGAGATGAGAATGGTGAGATCATGACTAGAAGTGAGATTTTTGAGGCGCCTCAGAAGCCAAAATAGGATGTGATGAGAATGGTGAGATCATGGCTAGAAGGGATTGGACGTGCTCTACTGGGATCATCATAAGAGGCATATAAATGGAATCATGGGAACGGAACTGGAAGAGGCATTTTAGATAAAGGAAAAGCAATACTGTATGCATGGATGACAGAGCTGAATTACAGTTGAGGCATGTGGGACAAGGGACACAAGTGGGAGCAATGGTGCCATTGTTTCCGATGGTGCTGCCAAGCGGGCATTGGCAGGTGTAGGTGCCGTTGGGGAGGGAGACACAGGCACCCCCTCCACAGGGGTTGAACTGAAACGATGCACACACATCAGCTGCAGCATGGGTTTCAGCAAACAGAAAGGGGCGGATGGAAGTGGGGAGGGGTGGAAAGGTGGAGGGATGGAAAAGGTGGGGCATGTGAGGTGCCGCGGGGAGAGGGATACAGACACCCGCTGCGACTTGAGGCGCCTTAAAACTCGTCCGGGAGGGGAATATGGGCAAGCTTGGAAGAAGGGGAATACTGACACCCATGGTGCAAGGGATGAAGGGTGCAGGTTGAAGCAAGACCATGTGCATGTATCAGCTACTGTGCAATGGGCGGAAGGGTTGCGTGATGAGGTGAAGGGCGGAAGGGTTGCGTGATGAGGTGAAGGGCGGAAGGGTTGCGTGGTGAGGTGAAGGGCGGAAGGGTTGCGTGATGAGGTGAAGGGCGGAAGGGTTGCGTGATGAGGTGAAGGGCGGAAGGGTTGCGATGCCACTGGTGATGGCAAGGAGGCGAAACAACAGGGTGCTGTTTGTTATGCCACCCATGCCGTGCCGCCCATGGCACTGCCACCAACGCCACCAACGCCACCCACGCCACCCATGCAACCCAAGCCATGGCACCCATTCCGCCCATGGCACCCATGCCACCTATGGCAACCATGCCACCAATGGCACCCATGCCACCCATGCCAACCATGCCGCCCATGCCACCCATGCCGTCCACACCTGCTCGCACACCCACCTGGTCGCACCCTCACCTGCTTGCACACCCACCTGCTCGCACACCCACCTGGCTGCACGGAGCAGTTGGAGCAGAAGAAGGAGCAGTGCTGGCAGAATGCCGACGTGGTCTGCTGACTCAGCTCGCACCACCCCCCTGTGGCGCACTGCAGCCCTGTGTTGTCCACTTGGCTGGCAAATGAGGAGTGTGAGATGCAGGAGGGGTGATGCACGAGGGGAGAGAAAAAGAAGCCATGGCAGATTGGTGATATGGTCTGCTGATCCAGCTCGCACCACCCCCCTGTGGCACACTGCACACCTGTGCTGTCCACTTGGCTGGCCGATAAGGATGCACAAGGGGAGAAAAAAGAGCAGAGGTGGCATATGGGTGATATGGTCTGCTGATTCTCCACCCCCCTGTGGTGCACTGCAGACCTGTGCTGTCCACATGTCTGGTTGGGGGGAGTGGGAGATGCATGATGGGAGAGAAAAAAGCAGCAGTGGCAGATGGGTGGTATGGGTGAGATGGTGGATCAGTTGTGATACACTTAAAAACCGGCGGATGAAGTGTGTGCGATACAAGGACTTACAGGCCTGTGAGCAGAGTGAGGTTGCCGAGCCTAATTTTCAGTCGACTTAAAAATCGGATCAAGTGTGCGCGAGATACTTGACTTACGAAACGTCTCAAAACAAGATACTTGAATTACGAGACGTCTCAAAACGAGATACTTGACTTACGAGACGTCTCAAAACGAGATACTTGACTTACGAGACGTCTCAAAACGAGATACTTGACTTACGAGACGTCTCAAAACGAGATACTTGACTTACGAGACGTCTCAAAACGAGATACTTGACTTACGAGACGTCTCAAAACGAGATACTTGACTTACAGGCCTGTGAGCAGAGTGAGGTTGCCAAGCGATGCAGGGAGCGACCCCTGCAGGCTGCTGTAACTCAAGTCCCTGGAGGCGGCATAAGAATGGAGAAAAGGAAGATTGAGTCGACAAACAAACGTAGCCCAAGTGACTGCAGGCGGCAGTAGAATGGAGAGAAAAAAAATGACTCGACTAATAAATGTAGCCCAAGTCACTGCAGCTGGCATAGCAATCGAAAAAAAACTTGAGTCCACTAACAAACGGTAGCTCAAGTCACGGCAAGCGGCATAGGAATGGAAAGAAACAGAAGACATATGCAGATGACAACACGCATGGATACAGATGGATACAGCAGACAGTGGAAGCAATGGTTAAGAATGAAAGGCATGGGGCACACAGAAAGCAAGTGACACGTGGCACAAGGAGAGAGGGCATGCATGAGAGGGGCGGCACTGACAGCAGGCTGAGAGTGGTGAGGCGACCCACGCCAGCTGGCAGAGAGCCCGTGAGGTTGTTGTGACCCATGGCGCTGGGTGGGCGGGGGGGGGAGAGGGGGGGGGTGGATGAGGAGGGCGAGCAGGGTGGGCAGAGTGAGGTGGGCGGGGAGTGCAGGGTGGGCAGGAGGGATAAAAGAAACGAGTGATTCAGGTCTTGGGTCCCAGGAGGGCATGGGAACAGCACGAGAGAAGAGGGTGGGTGGGGGAGCACTGATGCCAGCTGGGCCATGTCATGGCACAGCTCTGCATGGAGGCTGTATGTATATGATGCAGGGTGACACGTGGCAGTGGTGACACAAGGCAGTGGTGACACGTGGCAGTGGTGACACGTGGCAGTGGTGACACGTGGCAGTGGTGACATGGTGACACGTGGCACTGACATGTGCACGAGGCTGAGGAGGGTGGTGATGGAGTCAGGAATGGACCCCGAAAGCTCATTGGAACTCACGTCTCTGCCCATGCAGGGATACATAGATGCAGGGACAAACAGATGCACATGCGATTCACACGTGGCGATGATGTATGCATGCATACGCACGCATGGGGCGATGATATAAACGCATATTTGGAGCGATGATGCTTGCACAACTAATGAGGCAATCAATGGCTAGCGTGGGAGAGATCAAGGCACACAGCAGGCATCATAATGCTGTGTAATTTAGAATGCACCACATGATGCCACATGCCACATGCCACATGCCACATGCCACATGGTACATGCCACATGCCACATGCTAGAAGCCACAAGCTACATGCTACATACCAAATGCAACGTGACGTGCCACATGTTACATGTCGCATGTCACATTCTACTTGCATTGCAACCCCAAAGAGACATTACTGGTGAGGCTGTGGAGGTCTAAATGAATGGAATGTGTATGTCATGGCATGCCGTACAAAGCTACCACGCCATGGCATGGCATCATGGCATGGCATACATGAGAATGGCTTTGGCAAGGGTGCCGAGGGAGCTGGGAATGGACCCGGTGAGGTTGTTGCGCCTCACATTCCTGCTCACAACAAAGAGCGATTCTCACACCTGTTTAGCTTCTACCACTTGCTGGTATCAAGGATGTATGCAATTGAGGCTACATTACATGGTAAGCCGGTGTTCATGGTATGCCGGTGTTCACGGTATGCTGGTATAAATGGTAAGCGGGTGAACACAGTGACCGTGTGTACATGGTAAGCTTCAAGTAAATGGTCGATCGGTAGCCAATGGTTACTCGGTGGTAACCGTATGCCAAGTTGCTAACCAGTGGTCACTCACATCACATCACATGCTACTACAAGTGACTCACAGGCTGGTGAGCGAGGAGAGAGCGCCTATGGTGTCAGGAATGGGACCCATGAGGCTGTTGTATGACAGGTCACTGCCACGAGCATGCAACGAGATGGAGAAGACTGTTGAGAATTCTCAACAGTGATTTCAGCTGACCCATGTGGCTGTTAGACGAAAGGTCACTCTGTAAGGAGCATGAAACGAGATAGAGAAGGTTTAGGATCGAGAATAAGCATAGATGAAGAGTGATCAATCAAAAGGAGCAGGAACGAGTTCTCATGCAGACCAGTCCTGCTAGACTCTGGTTTGATGTGTGCGGTGCGAGTTACGGCGCCACACATCAAACCTCCACATGCAGGCCCTGACAGAAAGACTAGCACACGGCGTAAGTAGCAGAGCAGCGCGGGTGGAAGAGCAGCGCACGTACAGGACGGATAAGTTGGTGAGACGGGTGATGGCTGGAGGGATGCGCCCTGAGAGCTGATTGCCTCCCAAGCCCCTGATTGATGGCATCACGTGCGTTGCACAGTTGCGCACGAGACAGATATCGGGCTGATTGGTACAGAAAAGGGTTGTTCTGATACTCTAAACCCTAAACCCTCTACGCGTTTGAGCACATGGACCTCTCAGAAGAACAGATTTAGTAGGCGCCGCAAAGCATGAGGCGACTTCTGAGGTGCGTGAAAACTTGTTCTCTAAACGTCTGAGTTGAGCACATGGACCCCTAAAAGAACGGTTCTCTTCGGCGGCCCATAATTCGTTTGTAACCTCTGGGGTTTTCTGCCAGCGAGGCGGATGGGGTTGATGGTGGTACGTGAGAAGACCCAACCCTTCCTGCCTGCCCTTCAACGCATCATACGTGGGACTGAGAGAAGGGAAGGAGGGAGGAGGGAAGAAGGAAGGAGAGTAGGGGAGGAGGGCTCACAGGACTTTAAGGGCTCACAGGAAAGAAAGGGCTCACAGGAAGGAAAGGGCAGTGAGATTGGCGATTGCTGCAGGGATGGACCCAGAGAGGTTCTTCTGAGCTAGGTACCTGGTGGTGGTGTGTGGTGGGATGGTGAGGAGAGAGATGATGATGTGACTTTTGAGTCGACTCAAAAGTCACCTTGCTGCAGGGATGGGCCCAGAGAGGTTGTTCTGAGCTAGGTACCTGGTGGTGGCGTGGCGGTGTGTGGGATGTTGCTATGTGCTCGCCCTGTAAGTGACTTTCGTGCACTGATACAACATGCCGCTCGAGATGATGCTGACAGGGCTGATGCAGAAAAATAGCGAGGTGATGCAGCGAGGGGGGGGGTGGCATTGTGGCGGGCAGCAGTCAAAGAGACAAACAGGTAGAGAGTGGAGTGAACATATTGTACACACTGTACACACTGTACATACTGTACACATTGTTCATGCTGTACACACTGTACACACTGTACTGTATACGCTGTTCATACTGTATGTACTGTAGATACTGTACATACTGTACACACTGTACACATTGTTCATGCTGTACACTGTACACACTGTACTGTATACGCTGTTCATACTGTATGTACTGTAAATACTGTACACAAAGTACTACACCGTTCATACTATATATACTGCATATACTGTGCACACTGTACTGTTTACACTGTTCATACTGTACATACTATATACACTGTACTGTATACACTGTTCATTCTGTTCATACTGCTGCATGAACAGGCAGGTTGCATACTGTTCATGCCGCCCTCATCTACTCAAGGCTGATGCAGGTCCGGATTTTGCCATCATGAGGCAGTCCTCCCTCCCCTGATCGCCCATACTCGCCCATATTCGTCCATATTCGCCCATATTCGCCCATATTCGCCCATATACGCCCATACTCGCCCATATTCGCCCATCTTCGCCCATACTCGCCCATACTCGCCCATATTCGCCCATACTCGCCCATATTCGCCCATATTCGCCCATACTCGCCCATATTCGCCCATATTCGCCCATACTCGCCCATATTCGCCCATATTCGTCCATACTCGCCCATACTCGCCCATATTCGCCCAATTCGCCCATACTCGCCCATATTCGCCCATATTCGCCCATACTCGCCCATACTCGCCCATATTCGCCCATACTCGCCCATATTCGCCCATATTCGCCCATATTCGCCCATACTCGCCCATACTCGCCCATACTCGCCCATATCCGCCCCTATCCGTGTGGCCCACACGCACAGGTACTCAAGGCTGGCCATGCTGTGCAGGTTGGACGGCAGACTTCCCTCCAACCCCAACAACCCCCCCCCCCCTTTCGCCCCCATCCGCCCCCCATCCCCCCCCCCATCCGCCCCCCATCCGCCCCCCATCCGCCCCTTATCCGCCCCCCATCCGCCCCCCATCCGCCCCTTATCCGCCCCCCATCCGGCCCCCATCCGCCCCCTACTAGCCCACACGCACAGGTACTCAAGGCTGGCCATGCGGTGCAGGTTGGATGGCAGGCTGCCCTCTATGTGATTCCTCCCCAGGCGCCTGCATTCAGGGGCGAAGAGGGGACATGGAAGGAGTTTTGAGTCGACTCCGAACTCGTCTCATGCAGTGCAGGTTGGACGGTAGGCTGCCCTCCAGGAGGTTCCTCCCCCCCCCCTGCATGCAGGGGCGAAGAGGGGTGGTGGGGGGATGGAGGGGCGTGTGGGCAGGAGGTGAAGGAAGGGTGGAGTGGAGTGAGTGAGCGAGGGAGGGAGAGAGGAGAGGTTGGATGGCAGGCTGCCCACTATGTGGTTCCTCCCCCAGGCGCCTGCATGCACATGCGAAAGGGGGTGGGGGGTGGGGTGCGGGGGGTGGATGGGCGTGGGGGCAAGGGGGTGTAAAGAGGGAGAAGAGGAGTGAGGGAGGGAGGGAGGGAGGGAGGGAGGGAGGGAGGGAGGGAGGGAGGGGGGGAGGGAGGGAGGGAGTGAGGGAGGGAGGGAGGGAGGGGGAAGGGAGTGAGGGAAAAGGGGAGGGTGGGTGAGAGGGAGAAATGGAGGGACAAAGATTGCACAAACGATACACTTGCATCTCATTCGAGTGGGCACAGGGTGCGTGACAAGTGAACGGGTGCATCACTTGCAGAGGAGGGTTGCTCTACGTATGATATTTGAGGCACCTTAAACGCAGGCACAGGGTGACTGTACAGAGCGGGCATCGGGAAGGAAAATCGTATGAAACAGCTCAGGGCGAGAAAAACGTTGGCTTATAATTATGAGAGATTTGGGAGCAGCAGAGAGGACACAGTGTGCGCAAGCGACATGTGAGACGACTCAAGAGCAGAGAGTCTGCTTTTGAGTCGACTCAAAGGCACATGTGAGACGACTGAAGAGCAGAGAGGATACATACAGCGTGCGCAGGCGAGAGAGGTTGACAATGGCTGAGGGGAAGGGGCCTGAGAGCTGGTTGTAACCCATGTCGCTGCAGCGCATGGGGAGTGGAACGGGCGAGAGAGGGGAAGGGAGGAGGGCTGAGAATGAGGGGAATGGCTGAGAGAGGTTGGGTATGGCTGAGGGGAAGTGGCCTGAAAACTGGTTGTAGCCCATGCCGCTGCAGCGAATGGGGAGGGGAAATGGGCGGGAACGAGAGGAAGGGTAGAGGGCAGAAAGAAGGGGAAAGAAGACAGCGGGGAGGGGAGGCAGCATAGGGAAAGGGGTGAGGCATGGTTGGAGGGGTGCAGTGAGTGAGGCATGGTTGGAGAGGGACCTGTGTGCGAGGTCAGGAACGCCAGGAACGAAGGCCAGAGGATCTTTGAGGCGCCTATAAAATCGTCTCAGTTGGCATGGTTGGAGAGGGACGTGTGTGCGAGGTCAGGAACGAAGGCGAGAGTTTGAAGCAGGAGACTTCTGAGTCGACCTTACAAGTCACCTCGTTACAACGAGCCCAGGAAGAGAGGCCACGGTTTGAAACAGGAGCGCACACGCCTGCAGCAGGAGCAGGCGTATCTTCCGACGTAAGCTCACAGATTCCCGAGGACCGGAAACATTTATTGAAGGTGCAGAGAGGCCTGAACCAAATAAAGTATACTAATGGTTCGGAGTGAACCTAAGAAGGTAAGAAGAAAGAGCCGAAAGGAAGCTTACAGGTTGCTGAGAAGCGAGAGGCTTCCAATGCTGTCCGGCAGGGAGCCCGTGATGTTGTTGGTTCCTAACAACCTGCCACGTGGCACCCAGACATTGGTGAAAGCCATACACGGTCGGACGGGACAGCGAAGCCGTGCGGCAAACACTGCGGGCCAAGGGAGGAGAGAAGGGGAGCAGACAAGAGGAGCAGAGCAGGGGAGCAAACAAGAGGAGCAGAGCAGCGAAGGAATTTTGAGGCAGTTCAAAAGGGTGAATAATTGTGACGGAGAGTGGAGGAGAGTGAATGAAGGCAGCACTGACAGGTAGACGAGGGAGGGTAACGAGGAGAGGGAGGCAGGCAGCGAGCCGGAGAGGTGGTTGTTCTGCAAGCCGCTGTGATTGGGGGGGGGAGAATGAGGAAGGGGCGGGTAGGGCAGGGCAGGGGATGTGAGGGACAGGGGGTGAGGACGGAGAAAGCAAGCAGCAGGGGGCATGTGGGGGAGAGGTGCAACGTTGGAATGAAATGGGGGTGTTTGCTTTGCATGGAGCACAGCACACAAGACACGTGGCTGGCATGAGAATCAAATGCTGAAGGCTGACGTGGACAGCACCCCACATTGACATGGTCGAGGGCTTTGCTGATTTGGACATTCATGAAGCTGATGTGGACACTCATGAAGCTGACGTGGACACTCATGAAGCTGATGTGGACACTCATGAAGCTGATGTGGACACTCAAGAAGCTGATGTGGACTCACATGAAGCTGATGTGGACTCACATGTAAGTGACACTCGTATGGTTGGCAAGTGACGGAGGAAAGGGCCCCGTGAGCTGGTTGTTGCCCAAGTTGCTGCCACGTCAGCATGGGTGACGCATGGAACGAAGGGCAATGCGTGCTGTGATTGGTGATGGGTGATGCAGAAGGGATTGAAGAATAAGAATTGGAGATCAAGGGAAATTCAGGGACGGCGGGCAGGAGACAGCCGTCGTATCGTATGTTCATGGGATGGGATGAGAGGTGGTACATGGAAGAGAGGTTCGGAAGGGCGCTGAGGACTGCAGCAGGGATGGGGCCTGAGAGGAGGTTGTAGGAGAGATCGCTGGAGGGTGGATGGATGGGAGGGACGGAGGAGGAGAGAAGGGGGACGGGCCAGACGGGACGGAGTTAATGGAAGAGAGGGGCGGCAGGCGGGGATGGAGTTAATGGAAGAGAGGGGCGGCAGGCGGGGATGGAAAGGAGTGGCGGGGCGGCAGGGAAATACGTTGGCGAATTATTAGGCAAACCCTAGGATTGCATCCTGCTACATGACATGATTTAACAGCGCATCACGTTCGAATTAAAGAACTAGCATTGCATTGAACTAGTTTAGGGACAATGGTTAGAGCTGAAAAGAAGTGGTTAAGCAATAAAAACAAGCAATACAACTAGGAAGAGGCTTCAATTGGGATGACATAAGCAGCAGTACAGGACAATATTTTCCATATGAATGTTTCTTATTGTTTGTTGAGAAAACAGATGTTAAAACAAGTGACAAAAATGCATACGAATCAGCAAGCCACCATCGCTCACATGACACTAAGCTTATTGAGGAGGCTCATAGCGGGGGGAATGGAGCCTGTGAGGTTGTTGCCGGCCAGGTTGCTGCATCAGGGATGGCGGGAGGGTGGTAGGGTGGTAAAATGGGAGGTGGGAAGGTGGCTGGATGGGAGGGTGGGAGGGAGGGAGGATGGGAGGATGGCAGGGTGGGAGCATGGGAGGGTGGGTGGATGGGAGGGTTGGGAGGTTGGAAGGATGGGAGGTTGGGAGAGTGGGAGGGCGGGAAGGTGGGGTGGACTTTGAGCTTAGAGAGATTGCAAGGGAGTGTTGAGGGCATTTGGAGGGGGTGGTTGGTGTAGTGGTAATCTGGTGTATGGCACAGTGGCATATGCTGCTGCAGGCATGTGGATGAGCAAACACCTGAGAGGGAATGGAATGGATCACTAGAGAGGGTTGACTGACAGGAGGGTGAGGGCAGAGAGGCCAGCGATGGACGGAGGGATGATGCCCGTGAGCTGGTTGTCGCCCAGAGCCCTGCCAAAGGGGGCATGCGATCAGATGAGTGGGTGTGTGAGGTCAGAGGTACTGTGGGCGATGGTTTTCAAGTGCTGTGATGAAGGATGTGGCCAACCACTAGACCTTTTTTAGGCGCCTCAAACCTCGATAAGATAGGTGGGTGTGTGAGGCACATGGTGGGTGTGTGAGGTACATGGTGGGTGTGTGAGGTACATGGTGGGTGTGTGAGGTACATGGTGGGTGTGTGAGGTACATGGTGGGTGTGTGAGGTACATGGTGGGTGTGTGAGGTACATGGTGGGTGTGTGAGGTACATGGTGGGTGTGTGAGGTACATGGTGGGTGTGTGAGGTACATGGTGGGTGTGTGAGGTACATGGTGGGTGTGTGAGGTACTGTGGGTGATGGTATTGAAGTGTTGTGATTTAGGAAGTGGCCAAACAATAGATGGTTTTCTAAACCATGAGAATTCTCACAAGTGACCTGGCAATCACTTCTAAGAATTGATCTTGCTGATCTTGCCTGCCAGAGACCTGCGAATCACCGCATTGCCACACCACACCCATCACAGCATAGCAACACAGTGGGCTAATGCTGGCAGCTTCTTGCTTGGCCTTGCACGCGCACTCACGCGCACTCACATCATGCACATTTTGAGTCGACTCAACGGTTTTCTTGGCCTCGCAAGCGCATGTGCACTCACAGCATTGCCGCACTCACAGCATTGCCGCACTCACAGCATTACCACACTCACAGCATTACCGCACTCACAGCATTACCGCACTCACAGCATTACCACACTCACAGCATTACCGCACTCACAGCATTACCACACTCACAGCATTACCGCACTCACAGCATTACCACACTCACAGCATTACCACACTCACAGCATTACCGCACTCACAGCATTACCACACTCACAGCATTACCGCACTCACAGCATGCGCAGCCGACCCAAGTTGCCCATTGCAGGTGGGATGGGACCCTTGAGATTTGCCGCACTCACATCTCTGCGATGCAGCGATGCAGCGGTGCACACAAGCAAGCAGCGTGATGTGATTTAAGAAGTGTTTTGAGACGTCTCAAAACACTCACATCCCTGCAAGTGGTGCACACAAGCAAGCAAGTGAGCAAGGAGGAAGTGGCCTTACTCAATACTCAATACTTGACTTGAAGTACGCATATGGATTCGACAGAGCATTCCACATTCGCCATCCTTGACCCTGGTGAGTGGCCTACAGCCTACAGGTACTGCAGGAGGGCTTTTGAGACGTCTGGTGAGCCTGTTTTTGAGCATTCCGCATTCGCCATCCTTGACCCTGGTGAGCCTGTTTTTGAGTCAACTCAAAAACGTGACCCTGGTGAGTGGCCTAAAGCCTACAGATACTGCAGGAGGGGCAGCGATGCAAGGGCGGCCGGGAGAGAGCCTGAGAGGGGGTTGGTTCCGATGGCCCTGGGGGGAGTGGGTAGGACGGGCCCGGAGTGGGAGGGGCAGGGGGGAAATACGAGAATTTCCCACCAAGACGGGCAGGGGGGAAATATGAGAATTTCCCACAAAGACAGGCAGAGGGGAGCGTCTAAAGATGCTTGCAAGCAAAGGCGAGACAGAGGCGACTTTTGAGTTGACTGACTTTTGAGTGGACTGACTTTTAAGTCGACTGACTTTTGAGTCGACTGACTTTTGAGTCGACTGACTTTTGAGTCGACTCAAAAGTGGGTAGGACGGGCCCGGAGTGGGAGCGGCAGGGAGGAAATATGAGAATTCACTAAAGATGCTCGCAAGCAAAGGTGAGACAGAGGTGACTTTGAGTCGACTGAAAAGGCTCCAAGCTTCAGATCTGCAGCTCTTGCGCTTTGAGTGAAGTGAAGACCCCACGAACTAGAAGAGGCTGCTCAAAGCACCTGTAAGTAATGCTGCAGCCAGCCTGTTCGAATAATGACCCCACTTACAGGTACTCGAGGCTGTTCAGCGCACTGAGGCTGCTGGGAATGCTGCCTGTGAAGTTGTTCTGTGCTAGCATGCTGATGGGGTGCAGTGGAAGGGAGACAGGGGAAGAGAGACAAGGGAAGAGAGACAGGGGAAGAGAGACAGGGGAAGAGAGACAGGGGAAGAGAGACAGGGGAAGAGAGACAGGGGAAGAGAGACAGGGGAAGAGAGACAGGGGAAGAGAGACAGGGGAAGAGAGACAGGGGAAGAGAGACAAGGGAAGAGAGACAGGGGAAGAGAGACAGGGGAAGAGAGACAGGGGAAGAGAGACAGGGGAAGAGAGACAGGGGAAGAGAGACAGGGGAAGAGAGACAGGGGAAGAGAGACAGGGGAAGAGAGACAGGGGAAGAGAGACAGGGGAAGAGAGACAGGGGAAGAGAGACAGGGGAAGAGAGACAGGGGAAGAGAGACAAGGGAAGAGAGACAGGGGAAGAGAGACAGGGGAAGAGAGACAGGGGAAGAGAGACAGGGGAAGAGAGACAGGGGAAGAGAGACAGGGGAAGAGAGACAAGGGAAGAGAGACAGGGGAAGAGAGACAAGGGAAGAGAGACAGGGGAAGAGAGACAATGGAAGAGAGACAGGGGAAGAGAGACAAGGGAAGAGAGACAAGGGAAGAGAGACAGGGGAAGAGAGACAAGGGAAGAGAGACAGGGGAAGAGAGACAGGGGAAGAGAGACAGGGGAAGAGAGACAGGGGAAGAGAGACAGGGGAAGAGAGACAAGGGAAGAGAGACAGGGGAAGAGAGACAAGGGAAGAGAGACAGGGGAAGAGAGACAATGGAAGAGAGACAGGGGAAGAGAGACAGGGGAAGAGAGACAAGGGAAGAGAGACAGGGGAAGAGAGACAAGGGAAGAGAGACAGGGAAGAGAGACAGGGAAGAGAGACAGGGGAAGAGAGACAGGGGAAGAGAGACAGGGGAAGAGAGACAGGGGAAGAGAGACAAGGGAAGAGAGACAGGGGAAGAGAGACAGGGGAAGAGAGACAGGGGAAGAGAGACAGGGGAAGAGAGACAGGGGAAGAGAGACAGGGGAAGAGAGACAGGGGAAGAGAGACAAGGGAAGAGAGACAATGGAAGAGAGACAGGGGAAGAGAGACAGGGGAAGAGAGACAGGGGAAGAGAGACAGGGGAAGAGAGACAGGGGAAGAGAGATAGGGGAAGAGAGACAAGGGAAGAGAGACAGGGGAAGAGAGACAGGGGAAGAGAGACAGGGGAAGAGAGACAAGGGAAGAGAGACAGGGGAAGAGAGACAGGGGAAGAGAGACAAGGGAAGAGAGACAGGGGAAGAGAGACAAGGGAAGAGAGACAAGGGAAGAGAGACAGGGGAAGAGAGACAGGGGAAGAGAGACAGGGGAAGAGAGACAGGGGAAGAGAGACAAGGGAAGAGAGACAGGGGAAGAGAGACAGGGGAAGAGAGACAGGGGAAGAGAGACAAGGGAAGAGAGACAAGGGAAGAGAGACAGGGGAAGAGAGACAGGGGAAGGGAGACAGGGGAAGGGAGACAGGGGAAGGGAGACAGGGGAAGAGAGACAGGGGAATAGAGGGGAAGAGAGACAGGGGAAGCGAGGGGAAGAGAGACCCGTGAAGAGAGACCCATGAAGAGAAACAGGGGAAGAGACAAAGGTGGACACCCACATCACATGAAAGAAATTTGTAACGGCAGCTGAAAGGGTGAAACACTTGTAGGCGCTGCAGGGCTGGTATCAAGGACAAGTTATTATTTGAGGGGTTTATGTTCTTTCTAGCACCAACTCAAGGCTGTGATGGATGCAACAATTGTTCGCAACGGAAAAAACAACACTGACAAAATATATATTTTCCAAGTTGTCAAACGTACAGGCGCTGTAGGGCAGTGAGGGATGTGATTGTATCAGGTATAACCCCATTGAAAGCACCGTTATACATGGCCCTGTAGTGAAGAGGGTGAAACCACATGGCATGGAATGGGATGGCACGGGATGACATGGCATGGCGTGTCCTTGCATGGTATGGGATCGCATGGGATGGGATGCATGCATGGCATGAGATGGAATGGGATGGCATGGATGGCGCGGCATGGCATGGGATGGGAGGGATGCATGGATGGCATGGGATGGCAAGGCATGGGATGGGACGGTAACGCATGGCATGGGATGGGACGGCAACGCATGGCATGGGATGGATGGATGGCAGCATGGGGGGATGGATGGCAGCATGGGGGGATGGATGGCAGCATGGGGGGATGGATGGCAGCATGGGGGGATGGATGGCAGCATGGGTGGATGGATGGCAGCATGGGGGGATGGATGGCAGCATGGGGGGATGGATGGCAGCATGGGGGGATGGATGGCAGCATGGGTGGATGGATGGCAGCATGGGGGGATGGATGGCAGCGATGGATGGCAACATGGGTGGATGGATGGCAGCATGGGTGGATGGATGGCAGCATGGGGGGATGGATGGCAGCATGGGGGGATGGATGGCAGCATGGGTGGATGGATGGGAACATGGGGCGATGGATGGCAGCATGGGGGGATGGATGGCAGCATGGGGGGATGGATGGGAGCATGGGGCGATGGATGGCAGCATGGGGGGATGGATGGCAGCATGGGGGGATGGATGGGAGCATGGGGCGATGGATGGCAGCATGGGGGGATGGATGGCAGCATGGGTGGATGGATGGCAGCATGGGTGGATGGATGGCAGCATGGGGGGGTGGATGGCAGCATGGGGCGATGGATGGCAGCATGGGTGGATGGATGGCAGCATGGGTGGATGGATGGCAGCATGGGTGGATGGATGGCAGGATGGGTGGATGGATGGCAGCATGGGGGGATGGATGGCAGCATGGGGGGATGGATGGCAGCATGGGGGGATGGATGGCAGCATGGGTGGATGGATGGCAGCATGGGGGGATGGATGGCAGCATGGGTGGATGGATGGCAACATGGGTGGATGGATGGCAGCATGGGTGGATGGATGGCAGCATGGGTGGATGGATGGCAGCATGGGGGGATGGATGGCAGCATGGGGGGATGGATGGCAGCATGGGGGGATGGATGGCAGCATGGGTGGATGGATGGGAACATGGGGCGATGGATGGCAGCATGGGGGGATGGATGGCAGCATGGGGGGATGGATGGGAGCATGGGGCGATGGATGGCAGCATGGGGGGATGGATGGCAGCATGGGGGGATGGATGGGAGCATGGGGCGATGGATGGCAGCATGGGGGGATGGATGGCAGCATGGGTGGATGGATGGCAGCATGGGTGGATGGATGGCAGCATGGGGGGGTGGATGGCAGCATGGGGCGATGGATGGCAGCATGGGTGGATGGATGGCAGCATGGGTGGATGGATGGCAGCATGGGTGGATGGATGGCAGCATGGGTGGATGGATGGCAGCATGGGGGGATGGATGGCAGCATGGGTGGATTGATGGCAGCATGGGTGGATGGATGGCAGCATGGGGGGATGGATGGCAGCATGGGGGGATGGATGGCAGCATGGGGGGATGGATGGCAGCATGGGGGGATGGATGGCAGCATGGGGGGATGGATGGCAGCATGGGGGGATGGATGCCTAACATCATGGATAGATCGATGCCTGTCAGAAAGACGCGTGCGAGAGATGCTTATAAAGGAGATGACAATGAAGCTGACAGGAAGAGGAGATGCGACAGGGCAGTGACAGGGAGGCGAGGCAGTGACAGGGAGGCGAGGCAGTGACAGGGAGGCGAGGCAGTGACAGGGAGGCGAGGCAGTGACAGGGAGGCGAGGCAGTGACAGGGAGGCGAGGCAGTGACAGGGAGGCGAGGCAGTGACAGGGAGGCGAGGCAGTGACAGGGAGGCGAGGCAGTGACAGGGAGGCGAGGCAGTGACAGGGAGGCGAGGCAGTGACAAGGAGGCGAGGCAGTGACAGGGAGGCGAGGCAGTGACAGGGAGGCGAGGCAGTGACAGGGAGGCGAGGCAGTGACAGGGAGGCGAGGCAGTGACAGGGAGGCGAGGCAGTGACAGGGAGGCGAGGCAGTGACAGGGAGGCGAGGCAGTGACAGGGAGGCGAGGCAGTGACAGGGAGGCGAGGCAGTGACAGGGAGGCGAGGCAGTGACAGGGAGGCGAGGCAGTGACAGGGAGGCGAGGCAGTGACAGGGAGGCGAGGCAGTGACGGGGAGGCGAGGCAGTGACAGGGAGGCGAGGCAGTGACAGGGAGGCGAGGCAGTGACAGGGAGGCGAGGCAGTGACAGGGAGGCGAGGCAGTGACAGGGAGGCGAGGCAGTGACAGGGAGGCGAGGCAGTGACAGGGAGGCGAGGCAGTGACAGGGAGGCGAGGCAGTGACAGGGAGGCGAGGCAGTGACAGGGAGGCGAGGCAGTGACAGGGAGGCGAGGCAGTGACAGGGAGGCGAGGCAGTGACAGGGAGGCGAGGCAGTGACAGGGAGGCGAGGCAGTGACAGGGAGGCGAGGCAGTGACAGGGAGGCGAGGCAGTGACGGGGAGGCGAGGCAGTGACAGGGAGGCGAGGCAGTGACAGGGAGGCGAGGCAGTGACAGGGAGGCGAGGCAGTGACAGGGAGGCGAGGCAGTGACAGGGAGGCGAGGCAGTGACAGGGAGGCGAGGCAGTGACAGGGAGGCGAGGCAGTGACAGGGAGGCGAGGCAGTGACAGGGAGGCGAGGCAGTGACAGGGAGGCGAGGCAGTGACAGGGAGGCGAGGCAGTGACAGGGAGGCGAGGCAGTGACAGGGAGGCGAGGCAGTGACAGGGAGGCGAGGCAGTGACGGGGAGGCGAGGCAGTGACAGGGAGGCGAGGCAGTGACAGGGAGGCGAGGCAGTGACAGGGAGGCGAGGCAGTGACAGGGAGGCGAGGCAGTGACAGGGAGGCGAGGCAGTGACAGGGAGGCGAGGCAGTGACAGGGAGGCGAGGCAGTGACAGGGAGGCGAGGCAGTGACAGGGAGGCGAGGCAGTGACAGGGAGGCGAGGCACTGACAGGGAGGCGAGACGGCGGAGGGTGCTGATGCCATTGGGAATGGAAGCAGTTCCGTTGCTCAGGTCGAGCGTTCTGCGCGTAGCTTTGCAACAAATGCCGCGTCACGTCGAAAGCATGAGATGAGACAAACGGATCAGGAGGAATGGAATTTCTCGACACAACAAACAAACCAAGCACGGCACAGGGATGAGCGGGCGGTTAGCTTGCGATGATGGGACGGGGTTTGAGGCGCCTCAAAAACCAAGCACGGCACAGGGATGAGCGGGCGGTTAGCTTGCGATGATGGGACGGGGTTTGAGGCGCCTCAAAAACCAAGCACGGCACAGGGATGAGCGGGCGGTTAGCTTGCGATGATGGGACGGGGTTTGAGGCGCCTCAAAAACCAAGCATTGCTCAGGGATGAGCGGGCGGTTAGCTTGCGATGATGGGACGGGGTTTGAGGCGCCTCAAAAACCAAGCATGGCTCAGGGATGAGCGGGCGGTTAGCTTGCGATGATGGGACGGGGTTTGAGGCGCCTCAAAAACCAAGCATGGCTCAGGGATGAGCGGGCGGTTAGCTTGCGATGATGGGACGGGGTTTGAGGCGCCTCAAAAACCAAGCATGGCTCAGGGATGAGCGGGCGGCTAGCTTGCGATGATGGGACGGGGTTTGAGGCGCCTCAAAAACCAAGCATGGCTCAGGGATGAGCGGGCGGTTAGCTTGCGATGATGGGACGGGGTTTGAGGCGCCTCAAAAACCAAGCATGGCTCAGGGATGAGCGGGCGGTTAGCTTGCGATGATGGGACGGGGTTTGAGGCGCCTCAAAAATCAAGCATGGCTCAGGGATGAGCGGGCGGTTAGCTTGCGATGATGGGACGGGGTTTGAGGCGCCTCAAAAACCAAGCATGGCTCAGGGATGAGCGGGCGGTTAGCTTGCGATGATGGGACGGGGTTTGAGGCGCCTCAAAAACCAAGCATGGCTCAGGGATGAGCGGGCGGTTAGCTTGCGATGATGGGACGGGGTTTGAGGCGCCTCAAAAACCAAGCATGGCTCAGGGATGAGCGGGCGGTTAGCTTGCGATGATGGGACGGGGTTTGAGGCGCCTCAAAAACCAAGCATGGCTCAGGGATGAGCGGGCGGTTAGCTTGCGATGATGGGACGGGGTTTGAGGCGCCTCAAAAACCAAGCATGGCTCAGGGATGAGCGGGCGGTTAGCTTGCGATGATGGGACGGGGTTTGAGGCACCTCAAAAACCAAGCATGGCTCAGGGATGAGCGGGCGGTTAGCTTGCGATGATGGGACGGGGTTTGAGGCGCCTCAAAAACCAAGCATGGCTCAGGGATGAGCGGGCGGTTAGCTTGCGATGATGGGACGGGGTTTGAGGCGCCTCAAAAACCAAGCATGGCTCAGGGATGAGCGGGCGGTTAGCTTGCGATGATGGGACGGGGTTTGAGGCGCCTCAAAAACCAAGCATGGCTCAGGGATGAGCGGGCGGTTAGCTTGCGATGATGGGACGGGGTTTGAGGCGCCTCAAAAACCAAGCATGGCTCAGGGATGAGCGGGCGGTTAGCTTGCGATGATGGGACGGGGTTTGAGGCGCCTCAAAAACCAAGCATGGCTCAGGGATGAGCGGGCGGTTAGCTTGCGATGATGGGACGGGGTTTGAGGCGCCTCAAAAACCAAGCATGGCTCAGGGATGAGCGGGCGGTTAGCTTGCGATGATGGGACGGGGTTTGAGGCGCCTCAAAAACCAAGCATGGCTCAGGGATGAGCGGGCGGTTAGCTTGCGATGATGGGACGGGGTTTGAGGCGCCTCAAAAACCAAGCATGGCTCAGGGATGAGCGGGCGGTTAGCTTGCGATGATGGGACGGGGTTTGAGGCGCCTCAAAAACCAAGCATGGCTCAGGGATGAGCGGGCGGCTAGCTTGCGATGATGGGACGGGGTTTGAGGCGCCTCAAAAACC